TGTACTACAAACCGACGCTTCTGACAGAGCTATAGGGGCAGTTCTGTTGCAACCAGCAGGAGGGTCCGGCGACGATCTCAGACCGGTGGCGTTTTACTCCCGCAAACTCACATGTTCAGAACAGAACTACACCATTTGAGAGAAGGAGTTGTTGGCGATCAAAGCAGCCCTAGAAGAATGGAGACATTTGTTGGAAGGGGCCTCTCACACGGTCCTCATTCAAACTGACCATAAGAACTTGGCCCATTTTGCCTCAGCTAAGATTCTCAACCAAAGACAAGCACGTTGGGCATTGTTCTTCGCATGTTTTCGTTTCCACATAGAGTATGTCCCGCCATCAAAGAACCTCCTAGCAGACACACTGTCCAGAAAACCTGAGTACTTTGGGGACAATGAAGCACACCCTCAACGTACCCCTGTCTTACAGCCTGAAACGATTGTATCCGCCACTGCTTCGACCTCTTGGTAGGTGGACCTTCTCCGAGCCCAACAGGCCAACCACTTTGTCCGGGCCAAGAGGGAAGAAAGGGAGGCGGGTACTCTACCTTCTTTCTATAACTTTGAGAACAGTTTATTGTTATATAACCAAGCTGCGTACATTCCATTGCCACTTAGAGAACGAGTGTTGCAACAATGCCATGATTCCCCCTCTGCTGGTCACTTTGGGGTTTATAAGACTTTGCATATGGTACCCAGGGACTTTCGGTGGCCCTGCATGAGCTACGATGTTAAATCTTATGTCCTCTCCTGCCCCACATGCCAACGGGCCAAATGCCAGCCCAGCAAACCCCCAGGGTTGCTACATCCTTTGGGGATCCCTCCTGGCCCCTGGCATACTGTTTCTCTGGATTTCATCACGGATTTGCCCCCGTCGAGGGGCTTCACCACCATATTGGTCATCACAGACTTATTTACCAAAATGGCTCATTTTATTCCTTGTACGGGACTTCCCTCAGCCAAAACCACGGCCTCTTTTTTTGTAGATCATATTTATAAATCACATGGGTGGCCCCTTGCACTAATTACAGACGGGGCACTTAGTTCACCTCACGGTTCTGGAGGGAACTCCTTTCCTTGCTCAAGGTCGACCTACACCTCTCTTCGGCGCATCACCCTCAAACAGACGGCCAAACGGAGCTTTTGAATGTGACCCTTGAGCAATTATCTCCGTTGCTATGTAAACTACCAACAAGATGATTGGTCCTCTTTCCTTCCTTTGGCAGAGTTCGCTTACAACAATTCCGTGCATGCTTCCACCCGGCAAACTCCCTTCTTTGCTAATGTGGGATACCAACCCCGTGCATTTCCCTCCGCACTACCTGCTGCTGGAGATTTTCTGCACAACTTGGTTTCCGTACAGTCTTTGCTCAAGGAACAGTTGGATCAGGCCAAAGCTACTTACAAAGAGGTTGCTGACCGACACAGGCAACCTAGAGCCCCTCTCCGTGTGGGCGACTGGGTTTGATTGTCTACCAAATTCCTCCCCCTTTTGGTACCTTCTCGCAAACTGACCCACAAGCGTGCAGGGCCCTTTCAAATCGTCGCCCAAATCAACCCCATGGCCTTTAGCTTGGCTTTGCCAGCCTCCATGAAAGTGCATCCAGCTTTTCACCAGGCGCTCCTTTCCCCTGCCCCACTCTCTCACCCCCTCTGCTCTCAGGTTCCCCCATCTCCACCTGTGTTGGTGGATGGGGAAGAGGAATTTGAAATCGAAGAGATCCTCAACTCCAGGTTTTGGAGGGGGCGGTTGCAATACCTCGTACACTGGAAGGGCTACCCCCCTGAAGAGCGCAGTTGGGAGCCCATTGACCACATACATGCACCCATACTCCTGAGACGATTTCACGCTCGCTTTCCGCACAAGCAAGGTAGCAGATGCCCTTTGCCTCGCCGAAGGAGGGGAGGTCATGGGGGGGGGGGAGTGTCATGCCTAACAACTTGACGGAGGTGTTAGTACACAAAAGAGGGCCAGAAGCCCCCAGTGAGGATCAGGCTTTAGAGCAAGGAGATTTATACTTGGTGCCCACAGCACAAACAGCACCCCACCACCTGACTCTGATGTTTTTGAGAGAGTTCCTGGAAATCAGGAAGGGGAGTCGGTTGTCATGGAAAGTGCCCAACTGAGGCGGAGACTTCGACGCTTAGACCAATTAGAACAGAGGAGAGAAAGAAGTTTGTCCAACCCCCCTGGAGAGGGACGTATGAGGAGACTGAGGTCCACGTGACAAATCTCAGAGAGGTCAGAAAGGAGGGGGCAATTGTGTTGCTTAGAGCTCTCTGCGATAGCTCCTACACTATCTGTCATAAACATACATCTTGTAGTCGTTTGGAATAAAGGTCTTTAGTTTTTATTGCCTGCGTCTGTGCGAGTAATTGGGGACGTGAGTTACGACCTCAAGACAGATAACCTCTATCAGGAGAGGAACAGGGAAAATGTGACCCTGTTGATTTTTCTAGACTGCTAAACAGTTTTCGACATCATTGACCAAGGTGTTCTTCTGGACAGCCTGGCAAGGATGGGAGTTGGGGGCACTGCTTTACAGTGGTTCCATTCCTACCTGACTTGTGTCCAGAAGGAGGTGCTGGACCAAGATACTTGCTTTATCCCTTGACAGTTACGCCATGGGGTTCCACAGGGCTCTATACTGTCCCCCATGCTCTTTAACATTTATATGAAACTGTTGGGAGAGGTTATCAGGAGGTTTTGGCTGCGGCATCAGCAGTATGATAATGGCACTCAGCTCTTCCTCTTGTTTACATCAGATCCAGTGAAGCAATCTCCAGGATGAACTCTGTCTGAATTTCATAATGGACTGGATGAGGGCCAATAAACTGAAATTCAGGAAGGACAGACGTGCTGTCGGTTGATGATCTGGATTAGATGACCACTGTTCAGTCTAGGATGGGGTCACACTTCTCCAAAAGGACAGGATCTGCAACTTGGGACTGCTCCTGGACCCAAAACTCTCATCTGGAGTCTCAGGTGGACTCAGTGGCCAGGAGTGCCTTTTTCTAGCTGCTGTGAATATGACAACTACAGCCTTACATGGCCAGACAGAGCCTGACCATGATTACTTATGTGCTGGTAACTTTCTGACTACATTACTGTGATGCACTCTATGTAGGGGTGCCTTTGAAGATGATCCAGAGACTACAACAGATCCAAAATAAGGCTGCACATCTGATGTCAGTTTGTTCACCTGGATAACACATATACTGTATAAATTACATTGGTCGCCAATTGAAGCCCATGTCCAATTTTAAGTGCTTGTTTCAACATATAAATCCTTAAACAACTTGGGACCTGGTTACCTTTTCCAGTCTACTCCTACCTGCCCACTGAGATCTGGGAATGAGTTCCTTTTGAGAGCGCCATCGCCAAAAGAAGTAAAAGGGATGGCATTTAGAAGAAGGGTTTTTCCAGTGGCTGCCCCCAACCTTTGGAACAGGTTTCCTAAAGAGGTCCATCTGGCGCCATCTCTATTTTCATTTCAGCAGCAGACAAAAACCATCCTCTTTTGCTGATTTTACAAAACGTGAATTCAAAACGTGATTATAAGTGTTCACTCTGCTCTACCAGATTTCCTCCCCTCTTCCCCCTGTATTTTTATTTAACCGATATTTTAAAAACTAATATTAATTGTAACAGTTGTGTTTTCTTGCTTTTACTGCTGGATTGTTTTAATGTATGTAATTTTATTGGTTATTTTAATGTTTTGACTGTGAGCCATCCCGAGATGCCTTGCATGGGGGATGGGCATACAAAAGTTTTAAATAAATAAATATTTGTTCTTGTACTGTGAGCTGTATATTGATAATGTCAGCTGCTTAGAGAGTCCTGTCAGGCTATTGATGGCATATAAATTTGAAAATAAATAAACTACTCCTGAATTTTCCCAGGAATTGATGTATTCTATTCCCTTTTTGAAAATGGGGACAACATTGATCCTCCCTCCAGTCATCTGACACTTCACCCATTCCCCATGCTTTCTCAAAGATTAGACAGTGATCCTGAAAGTTCTTCTGCCAGTGTTTTTATTACTCTAGGATGCAGTTCAGTGGGCCCTGGAGTTCCGAACTGTTCAAAGTAATCAGGTGTTCCTGGACCATTTGCACATCAACTTCAAGCAACATTCCGGCCCTTTCAGCTTGTACTCTGCCAGGGAGGTCATAGGTCCTATTTTGGGAGAAAGCTGAGCCCAAGTAGGAATGCAGCACTACTGGACTTTCTTTGGCATCTGTTATCATTTTGCCATCCTCACAGAGTAGCTGAAACACCATTTCTTTTATCTGCCTTTTACTGTGCATGTTCCTGAAGAAGGCTTTTTTGTTGCTTTCAGCATCCCTTGCTAACCACAGCTCATTTTCAGCTTTAGCCTTCCTGAGGCCATCCCTGAAATTCCCTGCTATCTGCCTATACTCTTTCTTTGTAGCCAAGCTTCCTTTGTAGCTATACTCTTCCACTTCCTACACATGTCAGTTTCTGTCCTCAGGTCATCTGTATGCTTTGATTAGCCACATGGGTGTCTTCTGTTTCCCTTTTTTCGGGATGGGAGGGTCCAAAATTAATTGTAATTGTGCCTTTAGAATTTCCCTTTTAAAAAATTCCCACTCATCCTGAACTCCTTTTCTCTTTAAAGTTGCTTGCCATGGGAAATTATTTATTACTGTTCTTAGCCTATTAAAACCGACTTTCCTAAAATCCAGGTCATGCATTTGGCTACACTTGGCTTTTGCTTCCTTTAAAAACAAAAATGCAAGTACGGCATGGTCACTTTACCCCAGAGGTCCTGTAACAGCCACTTTATCAACTTACTGAGTAAAATCAAATCAAAGATAGCTAATCCTCTAGTTCCTTCATCCACTTTCTGTAGAAGCATGTTATCATCACAGAAACCAGAAATTTCTCCAAGGTGCCAAATTAACAAGTGCAGAATTTTTCTATAAATTCTCAACCAGTAACATCAGCCAGTGGAATTAAAAGAAATCTTACAGCTCACCTTATGATTAAAGTATTTCTCAAATTTCAATCTTCCTAATTCAACACATTGTGTCCAGGTTCTTGGTCTTCTACTGAGGCACTTAATCACTTGGAATGATCCTTCCAAACTCTCCCCAGATTTTATTCTCTAGAAAAGAGAAAAAATAAAACCAAAAATGGGCGAACCTAGGGCCATGTTACATGTCAGCAAGCATATGTTCACCAGCACCAGAAAGGTATAATATATCCCATCTCCCAGCATGCAAACCAAAGTGGAAACTGTGCTCTTGTGCATTTTGCTTTTAATGTATTTAATAGCTACTTTTAAAAAGCAAACCATCAATTATTCTTTATAAGAACAAAAGCCACAATTCAATTCCTGTTCCCAGATGGAGACCAGAAAATGGCAACGATCTAATTGAATAATCCAAAGTGCAATCATTTCATAAAAGTTTTCCAGTAATTTCATAAAACTAAGAGTGAAACAGGGGCAGAGTAGAATGCTGGGCACTTGTTCAGATTGAAAATGCACAGATGCTAGCTGAAAATGCTAGTAATCTACCATTACCAAATCCACAGTGCCTACTTTCACTGCAGCCTCCCATGGGTATATCCACCTACTTGGTGCCTCAATGCATATCAACCACCATTTTGAATATGCAAGCTATGGCAGATGTACCATGCACCATGGCTTGCCGGGTTGTGCAAACCCAGGTGCTGTGGGTTAAATGAAGGTTCAACAACCCTTGGATAATAGTAGAACAATGCACAGTTGTTCAAAATTCCCAGATGTGAATGACACAACAAACCACAGCACATGCGCACTGCAGCTTGCACATTCAAAATGACAACCAGCACACCCCATGTTGACCCATAGGTTAATTAGCCTATCATGACTTATCATGACGTACAAACAAGCACCATAAATTTCAAAATTTAATTTCACCCCCATTCACATTCCATTTCAGTGGTGATTCTAACTCAAACCATTTTGTCACACTGAAATGTGTGACAAAATCAATACCACACTGAAATCAATACCAAGTAGTGCTCTACTCCTACTTTGGCTCAGTCTTCTACCAAAAGAACTACAACCTTCCTGACAATGGTTGTACACGCTGAAGTGGCAGGATGGGAGCCCAAGGTTGGTCAAGAATAATCTAATCGAGCTAAAAGATTTGAAATCTCCAGGGCCCGATTGACTTCATCCCAGAGTCATAAAAGAGATAGTGGAGTAACTCTCAGAACCACTATCTACCATCTGAGAATTCTCAGAAGACAGAAGTGCCAGATGACTGGAGACGGGCCAGTATTGTCCCTATCTATAAGAAAGGGAAAAAAATGAACCTACGAACTACAGGTAGTCTGACATCAACTCCTGGAAAAATTCTAGAGCAAATTATAAAACAAGCAGTCTGCAAACACCTTGAAGAAAACAGGGATTTCTCAAGAACAAATTGTGCCAAACTAATCTCCTTCTTTTGATTTGGGTAACCTCCCAAATGGACTATGGGAACACTGTGGACATAATGCCAGGGCGACTTATTTTATATTGTTATTTATTTTATATTGTTATTTTTATATTGTTATTTTTGTATTTTACTTTATGTTGTGAGCCGCCCCGAGGCTTCGGTGAATGGGGCGGCATAGAAATGTTTTAATAAATAAAATAAAGAAATAAATAAAATAATCTGTCTAGACTTTAGCAAAGCCTTTGACAAAGTGCCTCATGACATTCTGATTACCAAACTAGCAAAAAGTGAGCTAGATAATGCAACCATTAGGTGAATCCACACTTCACTGCAAAACCAGATTCAAATAGTGCTCATCAAGGGCACCTTCTCAAACTGGAGGAAGTTAACTAGTGGGGTTTCAGTAGTCCTGGGCCCAGTCCTCTTTAACATTTTTATTAAAGAGGAAGTACAAGAAAAGAAAATTAAGTTTGCAGATGACAGAAAGCTGGGTAGAAGAGCAAATAGCTGGAAGACAGAGATAAGATACAGGGTGATCACAATAGGTTAGCACGCTGGGCGAAGAACAACAGAATGAAATACAACAGGGACACATGCCAAGTCCTCCTCTTATGAACAAGAAACCAAATGCACTGCTACAATATGGGGAACGCTTGGATCAACAATACTGCAAATGAGAAGGAACTTGGGGTTGTTGAAGATCACAAGCTAAACATGAGCCAACAATGTGATACAGCTAAAAAAAGGGCAAATGGTATTTTGGGCTGCATGAACAGAAGCATCACTTCCAAAACACAAGAAGTACTAGTTCCACTATACTCAGCACTAGTCAGATCTCACTTAGAGTACCATGTCCGGTTCTGGGCACCAAAGTTTTAAAAAGATGCAGAAAAGCTAGAAGGGGTACAGAAAAGGGCAACAAGGATGATTCAGAGACAGGAGGCAAAGCCCTAAGAGGAAAGATTGAGATAAGTAGGCATGTTCAGTCACAAGAAGAGAGGGCTGAGGTGTGATATGATAGCACTCTACAAGTACCTGAAAGGCTTTCTCAAAGAAGAAGGACAAGAACTCTTGTTCATTCCAGAGTGCAGGACATGAAATAATGGACTTAATTTAAAAGAAACTAGATTTAGACTATACATCAGGAAGAATTTCTTAATTGTCAGAGCTATACGACAATGGAATCCATTACCTGGGAAGGTTGTCAGTTCTCTCTTGTTAGAAACATTCAAAAAGCATCTGAATGGGATGGTGCAATTCAGCATGTTGCAATAGCAGGGGGTTGGATCTAATTGCCTTCCAGTCCCTTCCAACTCTACTATTCTGTGATTCTATGAATACTACCAACTACATATAACGTTCATCATAAAATAGATCATTACCTGTAACACCTCTTCCGCTGATGGATAGGTTTGCCAAAACTTGTTAAATAGGGAAGGCTTGTGTGAAAAAGCACTTTCAAACTAAAACAAGAAATCACATGATAAGAAAACAGTACTTAACAGCCCTTCTGCTTAAACCCTACCCAATAAGGGGGAAAAAATCAAGGAACATTCTGAAATTAAATCTATGAATGTGCTGTAGTATCATATTAATTTCATTGGGGCTTGTGCAGGAAAATTTCCCACTGAATCATGTTTATAATGCATTATGTGTGCAATAAAACTTACCTTGTCTCTTGCCCACTGAATTGTGTGTTCAGTGGCAGCTGGAAAAGATTTTAATGTACAAAATGGTATTTCTTCTTCTGGCGGATCTCGCTACATGTAAAAGAAAAAAATAAAGATTTTTTAAAAACTTCTGGTCTTAGTTATTTCTGTCATCACATCAATTCCTTTTAATATATCCTTTCCACAGATATCAAGGTTGCAATCCTATACACCCATACTTGAGAGGAAGTTCCACTTAACTTTGTGGAACTTGCAGTTATTTTTTATTTTATTTATTTATTACATTTATATCCCACCTTTTTTCCTTCCAAGGAATTCAAGTCAGCTTCCATGTCAAGTCAAGGAATCTTTACTGGCATAACAATACAGAACTGCATAAATCCACACATTCCTACAGAGATCTCCCAAACACAGCATTGCTAATGGACACTAAACTGACTGTTAATCTCCCACAGAAAGGCTGCTGTTCTTTCCCTTTGTCAGCTGACTATGTGGATAGGACAAATTTCCTGGTCTGACCGTTCTCTCATACTTATCAAAGTGAAACCTATGAGGGGCGTTCAATATATTCTCGGTATCAGCATGAAGAAAAAGGAATAATAAATTGAAATAATTTTTATTTTTCAATGTAATCCCTCATAACTTCAACACACTTATTACATAAAGAAATTAACTCTTCAATTCCCTGCAAAAATTACTCTTCCTCCTTGTCTAAAAAATGTACGTTAATTGCCACCTTGAGCTATTCATTGTCGGAAAATCGCTTTCCATGAAGATCTTTGTTTAAGTTTGGAAATAGGTAGTAGTCACTGGGGGTCAGGACCGGGCTATAGGGTGGGTGGTTTATTTCTTCGAAACCACAGTCTCACACAGCAGCCTTCGAAACATGCGCCGTGTGAACGGGCGCATTGTTGTGAAGAAGCAACACACCTGAAGTCAGTTTTCCCCACCTTTTATCTTTAATCGCTTCTCTTAAATTACACAGAGTGATTGCGTAAGATGCTGTATTTATGGTTTCACCTTTTTTCGTGTAATCGATCAATAAATTTCCCTTTGAGTCCCAAAACACTGTGACCATGATTTTTCCGGCCAATGGAGTGACTTTGAATTTCTTCAGAGGGTCAGCACCCTTTTTATGCCACTGCATGGACTCCTGCTTACTTTCAGGGTCATAGTGATGAACCCAAGTTTCATCTCCAGTAAAAATCCGGTCGAAAATACTCAATGGACCTTCACCACAGAGCTCTAAAAACTCCCTACAGCACTCGACTCACACTTGTTTCTGAGGTGCCATGAGCATTTGCGGCACCCATCTCGCACAGACCTTTGAAAGGTTAAGATGGTCATGAAAAATAGTAAATATGGTACCAACAGATAGGTTTGTCATCTCAGCTAACATTTTGATTTTTATTCAGGCATCTTCCAATACAAGTTTCTCAATTTTTTTCACATTTTCTTTCGTAGTGGCAGTAACCAGCCCGCCTGAGCAAGGGTCATCTTCAATGCTTTCTCTGCCCCTTTTAAATTCACTTGACCACTTTTGAACAGTAGATAATGAAGGTGCAGAGTCCTGGTAAATGGCCACCATCTCTTTGTGACTTTTTCCTTGTTTTGTAAAGAACTTAATCACAGCAACATTACCCACATCAAAAGCAAATCAACTCGATATCGAGAATACATTGAACACCCCTCGTAGGTACTTTGTGCACCACGCCTCAAAAAATGAACAGTCTAAAAGCATGTGCAATATTGTTTCCACACTACACCCACATTGGCAGTACCTTTCAATACATGGTACTCCCTTGAATCTACCTGACACTGGGGTGGATAGCATGGCATTGCATCTTGCCAAAGAATATGCCCTGTGCCCTGTGCTCTTGTGGTCTTTTAGGAATGGCAAAAAACCTGGCCATTTGTCCTATTTTGATCAAAAGATGTAGGCATAGCAGGAAACACATTTTACTGGCAGCACTCAACAACTCCTGGAATTCTATATCCAAGATCCTCCTTTTAATCACTTGGAAAGCTTGCTCTTTACTTTAAAAATCTATCTGATCAGGGTCTATACCCCAACAACTTTAATTTCTTGACAAGTGGGAAAATCCCTATTGGAGGTACAGAATCTGACCCAAGATGATACGTCAAGCGGTCATAATCCACTTTATAATATATGTGTAAACAAAACCTAATTGTTTCCAGCCAGGATTATCCAGTCTCCAAGCACAGTACTGAACAGGGGACACACCCTGGGAATCCCAAGATTTTCCAAAGGAACAAGGATTGTATCTGTTCAATTGAATGTTTCAGTACATTTAAACCAAACAGGGAAAACTTGGGGGATTATTTTTGCCCTGAACACTTGTAGTGCAGCTGGCACACAGTTACCTCTATTGAAATAAAATCTTGTAATAGACTGAGCGAAAAGCCAAACCACATTAACTACTGCTTTCCAATGACAGACTCAGGAGTTCTTATAATGAAAAAGTATTCTCAGATATTTGAATTGCTTAACTTTTTCTACAGTGTTTCCCTTAAATTTCCAGGAAATTTTTCCCATGTTTTGGCAAACACCATTACTTTAGATTTGCTGTAATTTAGTTAAGGCTCATTTTTATCCAAATATTTTGCACAGCTGTTAATCAAACAATTCAAACCTATGAATATCTGAGAATTACCGCATCATCTGCATTAAGCAACAGTATGACTTTATACATTCCAAGTCTAGGACTATGTCCTTCCACTCTAGTTATATGGGATGCTAGATCATTTTTGAAGAGATTAAACAAGGTCAGTGCTAGGTAGGATAATATTACATAATCGTCTATTGTGGATCTGCCTTGTCTAAACCCTGCTTGCTCTGGGCCAAGGATTTTTTTATTAATCCATGAGACAAGTTTAATAGATATTTCCCATAGACTTTCCCCACAACCAATAGCAAACTTACTGGCCTAAACATCAGATGGCTGGTTATAATTGCGTTTTTAAAAAATAGGAACCACTATATCATGATTCTAGAATTTAGGCATTTTCCCTGTTCCATCTATCATCATGAACAGGGGAGCAAGAATTGAGGACAACCAATTTGGGTCATATTTTAACATATCAGGTGGGATAGCATCTGGCCTGGCAGCTTCCTCCAATTTTAACTGCAAGATTAAGTCCCTAATTTCTTCAGTGTCCACAGGAGGCCATTCTGGAAGATCAGAAAAGGAGAAAACTATTGGATTTCTATCCACATTATCAGCCTCATAAAAAAGGTCCAAAAAGTGTGGTACCCATCTGTTTGCAGAAATTACCACAGTATTATGTGTCTCTGTGACTGAGGCTTTTGAAACAATTATCCAAAATTGCTTGCCATTTTTGTGAGATACAGCTTATAATAAAGACACCCATTGATCATCAAAGCATTTCTGTTTCTTTTCATTCACTAACAGTTGTACTTGCTTCTTAAGGAGAAAATACTCAGACAATGATCCCTGGCTGTTTACCTTTCTGTATGACCTGTAAACGTTCTGAATGTGCATCTTCAATTTCTTACACTCCCAATCAAACCAACCCTCCTTATTCAAAGTGCTACTTTTCTTTCATGCTATTAAATTGCTCCCTACTTCATCACATATGTACTCAGCCCCTCATTTGCTTTAATTCTAGGGGTTTTTCAATTGTAATAAAGATCCACACAAGAACCATGCATCTTTTACCTGATAGTAATTGCTTTTGTGCTACTGAATTCTTCCAAAATATTTTGATCTGTGTAATTGGACCATTCCTAAATCCAGCATTAACCTGTCTCTTGGTAGTATTGGGCATTGAGACCTGCTATTCAATAGTTTTTAGAAATCAGAAAGTCATTCTTGATATACCCAAGCCCATGCACTTAAACAGCTCTCTGAATCTAAATCATGTCTACAAAAATGTCTCACTAACTCAGTTGACTTTAAAGTACCACTTCTGATAACTCAAAAACTTTAAAGGAGACTGAGGAGTCACCAACACAACGCACTGTGCTATTGTGTTTGGAAAACTTACATGACTATTGTATGATTCTGTTAGATGAGGCACAATTACTTCAGTATGCCCTTTTGTTCCCATGGTTCCAGAGTCTAAGAGAGGTCGCAGGCTTGCTAGGCAGCGACTACATAAGGAAAGCAAAAGAGTAAACAAAAAATCACAGAAAATACCATGCATGGCCTAAGCCATTTAGTGTTAATAATATCACATAACATTTTTAAATGACAGGGAAGTAAAGGTAACCAAATGACTATATGGCATTGATCATGATTATCAGTTTCGTTTTTCCTTAACAATTACTGGAGCCAGTGGGAGCTTTCTTGATGCAAACAACAAGGACCAAAGATAGCAAAGGTGGATCAGGACATGCAGGTGAAAAGAGATACACATCCCCTACCACTCCTACCTGAAGGCTGATCAGAACTGGAGTCGAGTTTGCATTCATAGATATGTAAAATGAAATCTAAAGTTAATGGTAGGAAACCAAAAATTGCTGGCAGGGAGCAAAGTCAACTTGGCACAAGATGTTGCTTTTTAACAAACACTTACCTATCAATATATCTCCTTGCTTCCACATTGTCTAATGCAGTTACAACTACATCTTGCTTGGTATAGAAATCATCATTGTATATGTTCTCAGTAGCTGGGCACACTTTATTAAGATGTGGCTCTACTCTCATCTGAGGGTTGATGCTAAGTGTTGCCTCTGCTGCAGTACAGCTTTTGGGCTTCTGTCCAAAGTAAAAATATGTCAAGTTTAGTTAATATTCTTGATACACTGCTGTTTGTAGCATCTACCAGTATGTTTCTTTGCCCTAGTAATTACTAAGGAAAGAAACATTAGTGAGCATGAAATAAATTATGAACTACCAACAAAACTACAAAGTAAACACAAACACACAAATAATTTTGAGCATGGATGAAGCTCCTTAATGTGAGGAAGTTAAAAGGACAAATTACATTCTGATCTTCCTTCTGTGACACATAGACTCATAGAATAGTAGAGATGTAAGGGGCCATGAAGGCCAGCAGGTCCAACCCCCTGCTGGTGCAGGACATCACGTTACACCATCCCATTCAGAGGGCTGTCCAGTTTCTTTTTGAATGTCTCTAGTGCGGGAGAACCCACCACCTCTCTAGGCAGCTGGTTCCACTGTTGTATTGCTGTGACAGTGAGGAAGCTTTTCCTGATAACTAGCCTGAATCAGGATTGTCACAACTTGAATTCATTATTCCATGTCCTGTACTCTGGTATCTGCAAGAAGAGATCCTGACCTTCCTCTTTGTGACAGCCTTTGAGCTCCTTTTAGAGGGATATAATGCCCCCCTATTCCTGGTCAGTCTTCTCTTCTGAAGGCTGAACATGCCCAGTTCTCTCACTCTCTTCTCATAGAGCAGTGATTCCCAACCCTGCCTCATTTTTGTTGCCCTCCTCTGAACCCCTTCTAATTTTCCTGCTTCTTTCTTAAATCTTGGTGCCCAGAATTGGACACAGTATTCCAGATGAGGTCTGACTAGTGAGGAGTATAGAGGAATGAGTACTACTCGTGATTTGGAAGTAATACTTCTATTAATGCATCCCAAAATAGCATTTCCCCTTTTGGCGGCTGAATTGCATTGTTGGATCAAGTTTAGCCTACTGCCCACAATTACTCTGAGATCTTTTTCTTTTTCAGTTCTGTTGAACAACGTATTCCTCATCTTCTATCAATGCATTTGGTTTCTTTTCCTAGATGGAGGACTTGGCATATTTCCGTACTGAATCTCAGTCTGTTGCTTTCTGCCCAGTGTTCAAGTTTATCAAGATTGCCCTGGATCTTCATCCTGTCTTCTATGGTGTTTGCTATTCCACCTAGTTTTGTATCATCTGCAAATTTGATTATCTTCCCTTGTACTTCCTCGTCTAAATCATTAATAAAGATGCTGAAGTGCACTGGGCCCAGGACTGAACCCTGTGGCACCCCACTAGTTCCCACCATCCACTTTGAGAAGTTGCCATTGATGAGTACTCTTTGTGTCCAATTTAGCGGCCAATTTTGGATCCACCTAATAGTTTTTCCATCAAGTCCAGTGTGTGCTAAATAGCCTAACCGAATGTCATGTGGCACTATGTCAAAAGCTTTGCTAAAGTCTTGCTAGGTTATGCCCACAGTGTACCCTCTGTCCATTTGGGAGGTTACCCAGTCAAAATATGAGATTAAATTAGCCTGACAGGATTTATTTTTGAGAAATAAATAAAATGTTGGCTTCTATTAAGCACTGCATTTTCTTCAAGCTCCTTGCAGATGGATTTTTTAATAATTTGCTCCAGAATTTTTCCAGGGATTGATGTCAGACTAACTGGTCTATAGTTTCCAGGTTCGTCTTTTTTCCCATTTTGAAGATAGGGACAATGTTGGCCTTTCTCCAGTCATCTGGTACTTCTGTTTTTCAAGATTTGTCAAAGATAATAGCCACTGGTTCCGAGAGTTCCTCCACTAGCTCTTTTATGACTCTGGGATGGAGTTCATCAGGCCCTGGAGATATGAAAGTGTTTATTCCACCTAGATATTCCTTAACCATTTGTCTGTCAATCTTGGGCTGCCACCTTTCACTTTCAGCTTGTACTTCCTCTCGATTGAAGATTTCCTTATGGGAAGACTGGCGCGAAATAGGAAGTGTGCACCTCTGCCTCTTCCTTGTCTGTTATCACTCTGCCATCCACTTGAAGTAGCTGGACACCCTTTTCTTTCTCATGTCTATTATTCTCGATGTATCTAAAGAAGGCTTTCTTGTTTATAGTTGTGCTTGGAGAATCTACCTTTTCAAGATTTCCTCCTCCTCTTGGACTCCTTTTCCCTTAACGGTGTGTTGCCATGGCACATAGCTTATCATTTTTCTCAGTTCTTTAAAGTTGGCTTTTCTGAAGTCCAGGATGCATGTTTAGTTCCAGTTACCCCTTTTCTCTTTTATAAATGAGAATTCAAGTATTGCACAGTCATTTTCCCCCCAGAGTTCCCATGGCTGTTATTTTGCCCACCAGGACATGCCTGTTAGTTAGTATTAAATCAAGGATAGCTTATTCTCTCGTGCCTTTCTCTGCTTTCTGCTGCATGTCCGTAATCTCTTGGAGGAGCCTAGCTTGGCAGAATTTGTCTCCCAGCATATACTGGGGAAATAGAAGTCTCCCATGATGGCTATATCATTCTTCTTGGAAATCCTTGCAAGTTGCTTTTCGAAGGTTGCACCCTCTAAGTTTGTGCCATTGTTCCTCCTGCATGACCCTCCACTAAGTTCCCCATCTTGTATTTCTGTGCAGATAATGTGGCTCTTAGGTATAGTGAAACTACACCTCCCCTTTTGTCCTTTCGATTTTTCTTGAACAGGTTCTATACATCAGTTGTAGAGTTCCAGTCCTGTGAGTCATCCCACCAAATCTCCGTTACTCCTATAAGATTGTAATTGCCCTCATGTACTATGAGCTCAAGTTTGTGTTGTTTCCTTCCCATACTCTGGGCACTGGTATAGAGATATCCAAGTTCATTCTGGCTATGCCCTGATTTTCTTCCTAGGTGGTTTGGCAGACTGGTGCTGGGCCCTACTTGAGGTCTTTCTCTGTTGAAGTATATTATGTCTTTGCCAGGTGATGGTATGCCATGCTGCACATGTCCTTCCCTATAGCTTCTAGTTTAAAGCTTTCCTGATTAAGTTTTTCATGTAGTGGCCAAACATCTGCTTCCTGTTCTTGTGAGGTACAGCCCGTCATTTGCCAATTGCTTAGCTTGTGGTCCCAGAATCCAAATCTCTCTTTACAGCTCCACCATTGTAGTCAGTCATTCACTTGAAGAATTTTTCTTTCCCTAACAGTTCCTCTTCCATGTACTGGTAGGATTGAGTAAAAGACTATATGAGCCCCAGTGTTTTGGATTTTCCACCCTAGAGCTTCGAAGTCTGATTTTGAGTGAAGCTTCTCATGGCACTGTTGTTCATTCCCACATGGAAGAGAAGGAAGGGGTATTTGTCAGTGGATTCTAGGAGCTGTGTAAACTTGTTGGTTGTATCTTTAACCTTGGCACCAGGGAGGCAGCATACTTGGTGATTCTCTGGGTCACTGTGACATACATATTTTTCCATCTTGTGCAACATGGAATCTCCCACAACAATCACTCTTCTCCTTTTGGTGTAGCCAACTTTGGTATCCTTTTCCTTGCTTGATTGGCTTTTTGTCTCTTTTTAAGAGTTACACAGTATGTCATGTACTTCTTTCACAGTGGGTTTCTCACATGTCCCTTCTTCAAGTAACTTGAAGCGGTTCGAGACTTCCACTGCTTCCACTGGTGCACAGTGTTTTCTTGGTCTTTTGCGTCTGTCGCCCTGTTCCAGAGAGTTTCCTCACCTTCCCTTCCCTCGGGGTTCTCTTCTGCTGCCTCAGCTTGCTGATGCTCTTCTTGCTTCTGGGCTACACTTAGCTGTTGCAGCTCCTCTGCTCTGTCTAAAAACCCTTCATTTTCTTTTATTATCCGGAGGATGGACACTCACTGCTCCAGTGCTCTCACCTTTTCTTGTATCAGAGCTACTAGTATGCAGCTGTTGCCGTTTTTGCAGGCCACCACCACTGTGGAGTCTCCTTGGTCCATTGTTTGTGCAACCTTAGTGATTCTGTCCTTGGGTGGTCTGTTGTGACAACTGGTGCTTTTGAATGTATTCACTAAAGGTTAGCTTCACTTCCTAGGAGCCTGGCTGCTTGTATCCCAGAGTCCCTGGACGAATTGGGGCAGCTTGCTCTGCTCTGCTCGGAGTCAGGAACCAGAATGAATCACCCCACCCACACAACTGCTGCTAGCTGATCAGGCCACTCCCCTTCAGTTAGTCAGCCATCAGCAACCAGCTAATCTGGAACCTCCTTTCAATTGTCTCTTGGAAAAACAAAAGACTATCGGCTCTGCCAGTGCAGGCCTGTCTCTGTTTTGCCTAGCCTGTCTCCTCTTCCACTACAACTCCTCTTCTACCAAACATATAGTTTTCTGCTGCAAGGGCTTTTTTAATACACTTGTATAGCAAAAATTAATCAAGTTCTAGTTAGAATCTGAGGCAAACACTTCTTAAAATAAAATATTTCATTGTCTGGAAGATCAGAAATCAATCATATAAACCTAGCTCATACTGAATAAAGATCAAGAGGGATCTGTTGCCATTTATTTATTTAGAATATTTATATGCCGTCCTCAGGACGGCTTACATAAATAAATAATAATAATATAAAACATAATGCAAATAAATTCCAGATCCACCCTGGCTGCATATTAAAACATATATAGCTAATATTAAAAGTTATTAAAATATTGTTGGAATAAAAAGGTCTTAGCCTGGCACCAAAAAACAAATAACGATGGCGCCAAGTTTTGAAAAAATGTTATGTGGAAGCAAATTGAGGCCAGCCTTGGCCTCACCAAGGCTAAATACAATTTACAATAAAGTAAGATATAAGGGTAATTCTTATGAAAGACTACTGAAAGTGTATTGAAGTGCTGTAAAACACCCAGAGAGCTTCAGCTATTGGGCATTTGACAGTGCCTTGTCACTGTATACTTGAACCCATACAGTGCCTTGTAAGAGGAATGCTTTCCTGTTCGTTCTGTGTTGTTCAGTATCATTAACAAGGGTAGCATTCTGGATCATCTGACAGGATGATTTTCTGAGGAGGTATTGGAAGGCTCCTGATTATCTCTACAGCCACTTTCCCCTGCATTTTTCCCTTATGAGATTCTGTAGAAATCAATACTATTTAAGAATTTAACATCTAAATGGAGCTGTAAAAAAAGCAGTTGAGATATGGATCATAATTGGTCACCAATTGGTCACCAATTGCTGATGATATCCAATTCTATAGCCCACTAACACCCTAAACACTGAGGCATTCTATCACCATTTTGCTTGGCTGCCTGTATTGATGAACACAAGCTGCTATATTTTTTATGCCATGAATTCTAATATGTGGGAAAGTGTTCCCCACAATTAATATTAGATAAGTCAGCTGTCTGTGTTCATCAGTGACAAAACATTTTCCCATGGCAAGAAGTTCCCTCTAAATAAAAGCTTGTCTTCCCCATATTTGCAACCTTGGTTTTCTGATTTAAGCTTTATTGCAAGTGTTGTTTGTATTTTTACTATATGTATTATTTGCAGTTTTTTCTGAAGCATTTCTAATTAATCACTTATTTTGTAGTGCTTTTGTACATATTTACTTTACACACCCATTTGATTTGCAGAATAAATTTGTTGTTCTGGAAAGACTTTGGTCTAGGCAGTTCATGAACTAAACTGGATTCTTAGGTTTGTTATTTCTGATTTAGTACTGCTGTTATTGTTTTAGCCCTCTCTTTCCATTTTCATATTTTATGTTATTTTATTGTTTCATGTTATTTCAGATGAACCTTGCCAAATTTTATGATAAGGTATTGAAGTGGCTAGACAGAGGAGACATGGTGGATTTGGTTTATTTAGATTTCAGCAAGGCCTTCAACAAAACACCCCATGATATCCTGGTTGAGAAATTGGGTAGTTTTGGGATAGACCAATGAACTGTCCAATGGATTCGGGCATGGTTGATGGACTAAAAACAGCGAGTAACTATTAGTGGGGAGTCATCAGGATGGCAGCCAGGGATGAGCAGAGTCCCCCAGGGCTCTGTCCTGGGACCAATCCTGTTCAATCTTTTCATCAATGACCTGGAAGAAGGGGTGACTAGTCTGCTGATCAAATCCACAGACAATACTAAAATGGGGGCGGTGGCCACAACTGAGGAGCAGGTACTCTGGACAGACTATGGAAGTCAGCAGGAGATAAGTGCAAGGTCTTGCAACTGCGGCATAGGAATGGTTGTCATAAGTACAAGCTAGAGACAAGTGGCTGAGGAGCAGCACTTGTGAAAGGGATCTCAGGGTACTGGTCAGCTGCAGGCTAGACATGAGTCAGCAGTGTGACATGGTAGTCAAGAGGGTGAACACCACCCTTGACTGAGGGAACTGGATCTTTTCAGACTGGAGAAAAGGAGACTCTAAGGGGATCGGTTGGCTACATATAGGTACATGAGGGGGTGTCACATGGAGGTGGGTAGGGACCTGTTTTCCCCTGTGGAAGGGCGCAGGATGCATTCCAATGGAGCAAAGCTGAGGGAACCAAGATTCAATTTGATTACAGGAGGTACTTCCTGACTGTTAGGGCCCCCAGGGTATGGAATGGGCTTCCATGGGAGGTGGCTGAAACCCCATCAGTGAGGGTGGTCAAGGATAGGCTGGATATGCACATGGTAGGCATGTCATGAGCAGAGCCGGCTGGATCCAGGGGTCAAACTAGATGGCCTCGGAGGCCCCTTCTGACTCGCTTCGTTTCTATGTTTCTAAGTTTGGAGTCTTGCATCTTGTAAGCACACAACCCATAACATTCCATCCTTAAATGCTCATTATGCCTTAGATTTCTTGGACTAGCGCCAACTGCATCAAGTTGGCAGCTGTGTGCGATATGAATTATCTGTGGAAGAGGTCCTGGTTTGTAATATTGAGGGTGACAGTGAGGAAATGTTAGTAACTTCTACCCATTTTAAAGGACTGAGCAACCTTTTAGGGTTAAGGCTTACATTTCATGTTGGGAAAAATGGTCAGCAGCTACATACTCCAGGGGGCAGGTGGGATCTTAGCTAAAAGTGCTTGGGAATGAGCTTCCCCCTTCCCCTATTCCATTCTCATATTCTTTTCATGTCATCTTTGTCTCCCTTTCTGTACAATCTCAGAATGACTTTGCATTCCAATGGAGCAAAGCTGAGGGAACCAAGATTCAATTTGGATGCCAAGAAGTACTTCCGGATGGTTTGGACCCTCATGGTATGGAATGGACTTCCATGGGAGGTGGTTGAGGCCCCATCAGTGAGGGTGTTCAAGGATAGGCTGGAGATGCACATGGTAGGCATGTCATGAGTGGAGGTGGATGGAGCAGGGGGCTCAGACTAGATGGCCCGTGAGGTCCCTTCTGACTCACTCTGTTTCTATGTTTCTGTGTTTCTCTTTCTATGTTACTATAGTAGTTGGATACCTTAAAGCAAATGTTTGTGGTTTTTATATTTTATTATATACAAACAGAACACAAGTTTGTCATGGTTCTCCAAAGCTTCAGGCAATGGTTTTTCATAACAATGCTACTCATGATAATTTAAACTTAAGAAGCAAATGATTAATTCTGGAATTTTTGCATTCTTGGAATATGCTCTACCACTGAGCTATAGGTATATCACTTCAACAATAACATTAAAGCATTTACCCTAAGTTTAATTATACAGTGATTCAATCTTCCAGCTACACTTAAAAGAAGAACTACAACTTTCATCACTACTGATCATGCTGCTGGCACTGATAGGAATTGGAATCCAAAGTCTGAATGGCCATAATTTTCCCCATCTTTGTCTTAAAGAGTCCATTCTACCCTCACTTTTGCCATTTTCTGAAAAACCTATGAATTATTTTGCTATTATTGGTCCAACTTACCTGTATGTGACGTGGCCGGAAGAGAAACTGCCTATTTAAGTTTGATTTTTCTATTAAGTCAGGATCTGTAATTGTAACCTATAATAGGTTGGTCAAATAGATGAAATTATAAATTATAAGCCACAGTTAAAATTAACAAAACTAGCATAGTTTTTGCAGTTAGAATTAGCCCTCAAAATCCTCACTCTGGCCATTCACACATATCATTTAGACTAGATTCTAAAAGGATGACACAGCAACAAGCCACCCAGACAGCCCATAGCATGTTCTAAGGGTTATTGAACCAACAGTGGATTGCCATGCCATCCAAACATGGCACACTGAACATGGGAAGGAGGGAGTGATCTACACAACGAGAGAAGCAACTCCCTGGTGGTGGTGGTGGTTTTTTGTTTGTTTGTTTGTTTGTTTTGGAGGGGGCAGGTGCAGGCAACCCAAATATATGCAATTTTGTTCACTTTTTCCCCTGGTCCTCCTTTTGGCTACCAAAAATGTGAAGCATTACCTGACCAATAATCCGGTAAGTGTATTCAGTCAAAGTGCAGTAGGCAACATCCATGGACACTGACCAAGTAAGCTTGCATGTAGATTGTTGTGTGCACACTTGACAGCTGTTGATTGAAAAGCAAAGCAGCAAAGGCATTTTTCCCAAAATGAATGTGGTGAGTACATCTCCCTTTTTCAAAGATGTTCTCAGCCTCCCACCCCATTTTTTGTGTACTTCCCTGAGCCTCTATGTACTTCAGAAAAAGTTATTTACATCCTACCCATTTTTTTGGGAACATTCTTTTAGCAACTGCCAGAGGAAAAGGGTTTTTTTTTCCAACCTATCTAGCAAATATGAACCTTTTTCAGATGGTAAAATAAACAGCCATGAATGCTGCATGCTTGCAAAAATGGGGGTTCAGTGCAGCTCTCTACTTTCCAAAGACTGGGGAAGTGTAGGACAGATTGAGGTCAGGGCAACGTTAAAAAAAACCTAGAGGATTACACTGAAAAACAAGAGATACTGATCACCCACCCTGCATAAGGGAAAAAACCTCTTTGTTACTTTACCTTTCATTGAGCAGCTCACCAGTTGACAGCTGCCAAGAGTGAACACAGCAATATTTATGCATTCTTGTTCTGTCAATGTCCATGGATGCTGTCTGGTGCACTTACCAGGAGAATGACCCATCAAGGCAGCCAGGGATGTGTATTGTAAAAATACAAATGCAATTGCAGATATTTGGGCCGCCCCCTATTTTTCTGAAGAAGGATAATAAGCTAGTGATTGTTGCTCCAAAATGTTGCTTGGTTCTCTGCTCAAATGATCATAGGACAGCTGTTTCTGGTGGCAGCACAGGGCTCAGAGAAAAGAAGCAGGAAAAACAGGTTCATGATCAGAGTAGAACCCTGGAATACCATCTGGAGAAAAAGGGAGGAAAGAGAGAAAGAACAACTGATAGTAGGTCCTGTCATCTGTCAGGCACACTGTGGGTTCTTTATGAGCAATCCACATTGTGCAGCATATTTCTAAGTTGAGTTGTCATGTTGTGCAAACTCACCCTTAGAGTTAATATAGAGCCTTCCCAGAGTATTGTGTATTACATCCCTCAGTCTTCCACTGTGCACATCATCTGATCTTGAGCAGTCTTTCCCATTTGGAATCAGATTTAAGAAGTCATAGCTTTATCCAACTAATGAGAATCTGCAGTGGCATGAATTTAACCCTACTTTTTACTTCACGAATTTAAGGACGAAGTGAAAGATAGCAACATTGTTAGCATAATTCAACTTCATCAAGAAATCTGAAATGGAGCAAATATACAGTCTCTAACATCTTAGAAGTGTTCAAAATGTGAATCTTCACATGGAGTTGGAAGTTGATAGAATACAAATACAGTTCCACCAAACCACCCTCCATTATGTGAAGAAAACTAGGGGCTGGAGTTTCCCATCCAAGTTCCATTTCAATCAAGCTGTAGCTTACTCGCTTTTATAAGGATCATGATAAAACACATATGCAAACATAGTAAAAGGAACTGATATTAGTATGCAATTTAAAAAAAAATCCTACCATACTCCTTTCTTGACCAGTACCAACACCAAGGAGTGCAAAATTTTTTAACATCTCACAGCCTATTGCACCACAACCCACCTATAAAATAAAAGCAAATTGATATATCATAACATTTCCGACCCCTAAGTAGATAAAGTTTTAGTTATATTTCCATTCTTTTGTAACTCTAGTATGTATATAAAGCCCTCTAAATTTCTTTTATCTATATGCTATTTAATATCTGTATAAGGCAACTGAGAGTAGTCATTAGCAGTAACATCTGGATCAGGAGAGGCTGTACATATTCTGAGCAGGTGCTTGACTGCAGTAATGGAATGACAAGTCATCAATTGAACCCTAACAAGATGGGAACCCTATGGGTGGGTTGTTCCCAGGTAGGGGAATGGCGGAGGTTGTCTGTTCTAGGTAGGGCTGCATTCCCTCAGAAATAACAGGTATGTAGATTTCTTATTGTAACAAGTCAAAACAGACATCAAGATCCAAACATAAATACAAAATATAATTAATCTATAAATACAAATATAATTAATCTATAAATACAAATATAATTAATCTATAAATAATCTACAAATACAAGTATAGCCCCATGAAATATGGAAAATACAGCCTAAAATGTTATTTGTCACATGTGTAACTGGGTTAGTAGATAAAATATTATTTCTAATTCTAAAAGATAATATGGTAAAAATTGTTTCCTAATGACTAACATAGGGAAATACTTCTGCCACAGAATATATATTCCACTTCTTAACCTTAGAAGTTATCAATAATCTTACCAACATCCTCTCCCTTATGATGTCATAAAAAGGACAATATAGGGAATAATGGTTTAGGTCCTCCACTAGTCCCTGGCTACAAGAACAAAGGCAATGTCTTATAGAAACTCTCCACAAGTTATACTGAAGGCATGCTTTGAAAGTATAAGCTGGCAAATGCCTTCCTTAATGGTGCATTGGTAAGGGTTTGTCCTTGGAAAGTTTTCAGTTCTTAACTGCCACCTTTAGGGAAAAATATAACCCCCACAATTCACTGGGCTAACTAAAAAACAGGATGTTAATGGTTAGGAAGTAACTCCCAGGACAAAGACCCTAAGATCCACCTGTGTTTAACTGTTACCAGACTTCAAGGTATATAGTTTGAATGTGCCCCTAGACTCATCAGATGCCCAAGTGATTTCTTGATGAGGAGTGCCTACTACCAATGCAAGTTGGTGCGTCACTGAAACCCTTTCCGGCACACGGATAACATAACCATTGTAGTCCAAGCACTGGTAACTTCACATTTAGATTATATTATCTACACTTGGTCTGGAAGGTGCAGTTGGCTCAGACTGCAACAGCTAGGATGCTGAGTACAATGTTTGCCCATTCACATTATACCAGTGTTTAAGCAACTGCTCTGGCTGCCTACTGAACCAAATGTAAGCATTAAGAACATAGGACCAAGTTACCTGACTTTTTGCAATCATTAAGATCAATGAAGGAGGCCTTACTTGTGGTACCTCAATCTATAGACTTTCATCTCATAGCAACTGGGAAAGTGGCCCTTCTCTGTGGTAGCATCTGTAAGGATTGCACCCACTCTTTCATCTATAATACAGCCTTTCAGAAAGTGCTGACTTGGATCCTGATTCAGAAGTGGAGGGGCTGGTATTTAATGTAAAGGAGAACTGGTTAAAGGCCTTTTGGGAACAGAAGGGTTAACCCTGGGCAGGAAAACTAGTCTGTCTCAGCCAGGTGGCACCTCAAGGAAAACCAGGTGCCAAGGCCACTGGAGGCTTGATAGCTATAGGAATGCAAAACACCCTAAATTGCTTCCAAGGACACAGGAATTCACATTTCCCCAAGGCTGGAGATACCAGTCCCTCAGTTGCCTTGAAGACCACCATGAGTCCTGGCCTGAGGGATAGAAGGGAGAAGTGAGGAATGCCAGACCAACCCTGGAGTCCAAGGGAAGGTATAACACTTGATCTTGCATTCCTGTTCCACAATAGACAGGACCCAAGAGTTTGAAGTGATTGCTTCCCATTGTCATGAGGCAGGTGCCCCTTCCCAACGAAAGCAATCATTCCAGCAGATGCTACCAATGTCATTATTCCAAACAACTACAAAAGGATCATGAATCCAACAGCTACAAACAATTTGCCACTGTTAACATACACAGGATAGAAAGTTGACCTCTCGTGCTAACTTCACCCCACACTTTGCTTATGAAACTGCCAAGGGCGTACCCCCAGAGGCAGGGCACTCTGAACACACGTTCATCACCATTCTCCAAATCAAGGTTCCATCTGCCTGAATCTTAAGCTCACACCAACTGTTTCAGTGACTCCATCTAGCCACCTCATCCTCTGCCATCCCCTTCTTCTCTTGCCATCTATTGTTCCCAGCATTAGGCTCTTCTCCACGGAGTCCTTCCTTCTCATTAGGTGGCCAAAGTATTTGAGTTTCATCTTCAGTATCTGGCCTTCTAAAGAGCAGTCAGGGTTGATCTCTTCTAGCACTGATCGGTTTGATCGCCTTGCAGTCCAAGGGACTCGCAGGAGTCTCCTCCAGCACCACAATTCAAAGGCCTCAATCCTTTGGCGCTCAGCCTTCCTTATGGTCCAGCTTTCACAGCCATACATTGCAACTGGGAAAACCATAGTCTTGACTATACTCACTTTTGTCAGCAGGGTGATGTCTCTGCTTTTTAGTATGTTGTCTAGATTTGCCATAGCTTTCCTCCCAAGGAGCGTCTTTTAATTTCTTGGCTGCAGTCCCCATCTGCAGTGATCCTGGAGCCCAGGAAAATAAAATCTGTCACTACCTCCATTTCTTCCACATCTATTTGCCAGGAAGTGATAGGACTGGATGCCATGATCTTAGTTTTCTTAATGTTGAGTTTCAAGCCAACATTTGCACTCTCCTCCTTCACCCGCATCAAGAGGCTCTTTAGTTCCTCTTCACTTTCTGCCATGAGAGTGGTATCATCTGCATGTCTGAGGGTGTTGATATTTCTCCCAGAAATCTTAATTCCAACTGGTGATTCATCTAGCCCCGCGTTTCTCATGATGTGCTCTGCATATAAGTTGAATAGGCAGGGTGACAGTATACAGCCTTGCCGAACTCCTTTCTCAATTTTGAACCAATCAGTGGTTCTGTGTCCAGTTCTCACGGTTGCTTCTTGACCCGCATACAGGTTTCTCAAGAGACAAATAAAATGGTCAGGTACTCCCATCTCTTTAAGAACTTGCCACAATTTGTTGTGATCCACACAATCAAAGGCTTTAGCATAGTCAATGAAGCAGAAGTAGATGTTTTTCTGCAACTCCCTAGCTTTCTCCATGATCCAGCATATGTTGACAATTTGATCTCTAGTTCCTCTTCGAAATCCTGCCTGTACTTCTGGTAGTTCTCAGTCCACATG